TGTCACTTTTTTGCGTTGTAACTTCGAACGCTTATAAGGGGAGGACTATGTGTAGTTTTTCACTCAATATTATTTTTTTTTCTTTTCCTGAAGGCCTAGCATTTGCTTTATTGGCAAATGTTCCTCCGAGTTATGGACTCTACGCAGCCTTTTTCCCCGTGGTTATATATTTCTTCTTTGGCACGTCCAGACATATATCGGTCGGTAAGTTGAATTAAATTCCAGTGAATTTAGAGCCAAGGTTTTAATTAGCCTCACAATATAACATGCTCAACCAAGCTGAAGCTCGAATTACATCGTTTATGATCAAGTGCAGCTGAGAAAAACCATAAAACATAATCTCAGGGGTCAACACAATCTTTTTGTTATAATCACATTCGAGGGAGGCAGCATAAATATCTGGCATAGGGTGATTTTTATGACTGCGGAGGACTGTCAAGCATGAAGGAGATCTAAAATTCTTTCAAACAAAATTATATCAAGGGGAGAAGCCACCTAGAACTAAGAAGGAATTTCCTGACAGTTAGAACAATTAACCAGTGGAACAACCTGCCTCCAGACGTTGTGAATGCTCCAACACTGGAAGTTTTTAAGAAGAGATTGGACAACATTTGTCTGAAATGGTATAGGGTCCCTAAGAGTCAATGATGACTTGATCTCCCATCAACCTCTTCATCATTGTGATACAATTTCATTCTCTAGACTATGTAGCATAAAAATCATGGTGGCTGTTTGATGGACAGATAAATGAATAAATCATGTCACACAGGACCGTTTCCCATCCTAAGTCTGATGGTAGGAGGAGCAGTTTTAAACATGGTCCCAAATGAACCTGGGAACTCCAGCGTGCCAACGAACAGTTCATCATTAAACCAGGAAAGAGTTATGGTGGCAGTATCCGTTACAGTCCTGGCTGGCATCTTTCAGGTAAGCATTATGAATGCTCCCCTGTTTTTAGAATTTGAAGCCATGCCAAAGTTGCTATCCATTTCCAAACATTGTCCTATCATTCTCTTCTTTATCTCAGATATATGTCTGTTAGATAGCATCATGACATTTTCCTGTCCTGTCCTCAACGCAAGTAGTAACTGCAAGGGTAGAGAAAGAGTTGCAGAACCTTTAGTTGTAAGGGCACGTTCAGAAGCATGAAAAAAAATATATCCCCAAATCCTCAGGACTATTTTGCTAAATAAATAGTTGTAAGTTGAGGACTGCCTGTATCCAAATTTATAAATTCCTTCCTTCCATTGGATCGAAAGAAATTGATTTAAAAAAGAAATCGAAAAGAAGCTGATTTAAAACAACAACAACAACCACAAGAGAGGACAAAATTATTCACTGTTATTCGCTATTTCAATATTATTTTCATTAGTTAAATAGCAACCGGATATTAAGTAATGTCCTACGAATGCAGGAGATATGTAGGAGAAGGAATGGCAGAATCTGGCGGGTGGAGTCAAAAGAGGAATCACCCTAGAATCCCTACGTAGCCACAAATGGACTAGGTCCAGCTTCCCTTGGATTCCATTAACCAGTATCTAACTCCAAGCAGGTACTAACCATTAACCCAAAGGTGTTTTTTCAAGAGGCAACTGGACTTTTTTTGTTGGTCTTTGAAGACGTTTCGCTTCTCATCCAAGAAGTTTATTCAGCTCTGACTGGAGGGTGAGGAATGGAAGAATTTATACTCCTTCCAGACAGCTGGTCATTTGCCTTCTTTTAGAGCGTCGTTGAGGCCACTTGGAGGTTTACCTGTGTCCTCAGAGTCACCAGAGTGGTGCAAATGGGTGTGCAGCCTTCTGTTCTGTCCCAGCTTACGTGAGTCCTTGTTATGCTCACAAGGAGACACCCCTCTTCCAACAAGCAGGTTGGAACCGCAGGGAAAAAAACAATCCCCTTTTATTATTTACAGACCTGAGTAAATGTTCAAAGGCAAACAAAACACAATTCACAGAAACTCAATTCCTCAACACGAACGGCTGCCTTCAGCAGCACCTCCCACACCTTCCCTTTTATAATTCAGCCAAGGCGTGGCTTCCTAATGCCTTCTCCTTTGCCTTTGGAGCCGCCCCATTGCATTTCTCTGTCCTACTCTCTTTTCTTGCCGGCATTTTCGTGCATCCTGGATAGCTCCCAGCTGTGGGTCATCACTGTCCAACTCAGGCTCCCAGCACAGCTGTGTCTCAACCTGCGTACGAGTAGAGGGGCCAGGCTCCTTGTCAGACTGTAAGTCTCGGAGCTCCTCAGAGCCTTCCTCCGACTCTGATGTCACTCCAGGCCCCCCTCCTCCTCCTCCTCTGATTCCTCTGATTCAGCTGCCGGGTCCACTGGCTGGCGAGGAATCACAACACCTTCTTGGCTGCAGGATGTTTTCTGCCCTGTGTCCCTTCACTGTTGAAGACAGGTGCAGGCCGTTGGGGATGAGTCTGTGTCGTCTACATCTCAAACTGAAGCGCAATGTTTTCTGGAAATCCATTCATCCTCCCGCACCATTCGAACAGACCCAGGGCAGAAAACATCCTGCAGCCAAGAAGGCTGTACTACTCAGGTGACCCTGAGGACACAGGTGAACTCCAAGTAGCCTCAACGACTTGCTAAAAGAAAGCAAATGACCGGCTGTCTGCAAGGAGTATAAATCTTCCTGTTCCCCACCATCCAGTCAGAGCTGAAGAAGTTTCTTGGGTGAGAAGCAAAACATCTTTAAGAAAAAAAAGAAAGTCCAGTTGCCTCTTGAAAAAGCACCTTGACCTGGATGACTTGAGAATATCCATAGCACTAACCATTAGTTGAGAAGAGCCCACTGTACAGGCTTTTAGTAATAAATCAGCTTAATTGAACTTTTACAGGTGGACCTACCTTTTGCACCTGGTACAAAATGATAATTTCTATTCCAAAACAAATGTCCGTAGTTTAATTTTCAGTTTTTCCCCAAGTAACCCTCAAAGATCCTCATTTCTTCTTCCACCCCTAATGCCGTTATTGTTCCGTTCCAGTTAGCCCTGGGCGCCTTTCGCTTCGGCTTCATCGTCATCTATTTGTCTCAGCCACTCATCAGTGGATTTACGACGGCGGCTGCGATACACGTTTTTGTGTCTCAGCTGAAGTTCATTTTTCAGCTACCGGTTGAGCCCTTTAACAAACCACTGGGACTCATCTGGGTGAGTGTTACAAACCCCAAACCTCGGTTTCTCACTTCTCTGATTTGCTATTATGAATTGTTGCTGCCGTTTTTCAGGTACAGGAGTCCTTGATTGGCCACAGTTCATTTAGTGGACCGTTCAAAGTTACAATGGCATTGAAAAAAGTGACTTATGACCGTTTTTCACACTTACGACCGTTGCAGCATCCCCACGATCACATGATCAAAATTCAGACACTTGGCCACTGGTTCATATTTCCAACCCCCTGCTCAGGCAGGAAACCCTATACCATTTCAGACAAATGGCTGTCCAGTCTCTTCTTTAAAACTTCCAGTGTTGGAGCATTCACCACTTCTAGAGGCAGGTAGTGCCACTGGTTAATTGTTCTAACTGTCAGGAAGTTTCTCCTTAGTTCTAGGTTGCTTCTCGCCTGGATTAGTTTCCATCCATTGCTTCTTGTCCTGCCTTCAGGCGCTTTGGAGAATAGCTTGACTCTCTCTTCTTTGTGGCAGCCCCTGAGATACTGGAAGACTACTATCATGTCCCCCCTCGTCCTTCTCTTCATTAAACTAGACATCCCCAATTCCAACAACCGTTCCTTATATGTTTTAGCCTCCAGTTCCCTAATCATCTTTCACTTCACAATTAATTGTTAGAGGCTTGGATGAAACCAACCAACTAATCAAGAATAAACCAGGCAGTCATAAACAATTCACTTGTCTCCTGTTTGGCAAAATCGACAAACCATGATCGGTGCCCACCACAAGGCATGATTTTGCACTGATTCTATTTTCAAGTCCCTTTGGGCTAACAGCAACCAACTCCCTTTGCTGTTTAACGTGGCACCTGAAGCTGAACATTGCCTGTATCAAAACACAATTGATCCCGTTCCTTCTTCATTTGCAACTATGTTGTATTAATACCCAGTTCTTTCTTCCTTTTTAACAGACCCTTAAAAGTATATTTGAGCAGATCACCGACACCAACATTGCAGATTTAGTCACCGCACTCATTATCTTAGTCGTTGTGTCAGTGGTCAAGGAACTGAATGACCGTTACAAAGCCAAACTGCCAGTACCAATTCCGATTGAAGTCATCGTGGTAAGAATGCCTCCATTTTTTTTGCAAGCCAAAAGTACATTGTAAGGGTTTTTTTGAAAAAATTCAGATGTTTTGGGTTTTGTTCTGTTAGAAATTCTTTTTGTATATCGCACCACAGATCAAACAAAGTGTACAGTCACCATGTGCTTTACAGCTGCAGCTTCTTGTGGTCATTCAGATCCTTGTGAAGTAGATACTAAAAAGGTTTCCCTGTCCAGTGGGGTCTGACTCTAAGGCTCCATGTTCATCTCCGTTTCTTAGCCGAGGGAGCCAACATTGTCCAAAGACATTTTTCGTGATCATGTAACTGGCATGTCTACACCAATGCATAGCTAACATTGTTACCTTCCCACTGAAGTGGTACCTATTTATCTAGTCGCGTTTGCATGCTTTCGAACTGCTTAGGTGGGCAGGAACTGGGGCTAGTAGCAGGAGCTCACTGCATCATGCAGTACTTGAGTCTCCAACTGCCATCCTTGACAAGTCCAGCATCTTAACCGCTAGGCGACCACATCCCTGTAGATCAGTGGTTCTCAACCTTTTTAATGCCGCGACCCCAACCGGTCGTAAGTTGAGGACTAAACCGGTCGTAAGTCGAGGATTACCCAACCGGTCGTAAGTCGAGGACTTTCCCTGCCTGGGAGCGCCGCGCATGCGTGGTTCTGCCCCTGCGCCGGCCGAGGCGTAGCTGGCAAGCGGCAGAGACGGAGCAGGCCGACCACCAGCTGGCCCAGCCCAAGGGAGGTAAGGCACCTGCTGGAAAAGGGGGAAAAATGGCAGACAAAAGAAATGGCGGCCAAAAAAAATGGCGGACAGCCTTGCTTGGCGACCCCCGTGAAATGGTCGATCGACCCCAAATGGGGTCCCGACCCACAGGTTGAGAACCACTGCTGTAGATGCTATGGCCCTGGCCTTAATCAACCCCATTATTTTCCTCAAGAGTGAAAAATGAGTTTGTTCCTCAATTGGGAGTGCTCTCAATTTCCCACGAACACAAAGAGGAAATGACCCCGTCAGCCCTTACTGTGAAAAACATCATCAATTCAAAGTGACAAATCTGGGTTCGGGTTTCAGAAGTTTTTCAAGTATAAAGACAATGAAAACTCGATGGCTTTTCTCCATCATTCACGGTGAAAGGCCAGGGTAAAATTGAACAGGCGTCCAGTCTTTCTTTGAGAACTCGAATTCTATACAATAAAGTAAAAGTCAATATTGAAATAGCCGCTTGAAAACTTGTAAAGTTTTTTTTTTAAAAAAAAAATCTGTTGTTCTTATTTCCAGACAGTCATCGCAGCTGGACTATCTTACGGCTTTAATTTCAAAGAGATATTCCAGGTAGATACCGTTGGAACATTAGATGTTGGGTAAGTAGACAGTAATCTGTATATATTAATGAAAACAGATAGCTTTGGGGTTGTTTTTCCCTTCCTACTAACTTTTAGCCACAATTATAAACTGGAAGAGCTTCCACAATCCAATTTAAATGCTTTGTAAATGGAATCCACCATATGGGCCGTAAACATACAGGCAGTCCTTGACTTACAGCCATCCATTCAGTGACCGTTTGAACTTACAACGATACTGAAAAAAGTGACTTACGACCGTTTTTCACATTTATAACTGTTGCAGCATCTCCGTGGTCACGTGATCAAAATCCGGATGCTTGGCAACTGACTCCTATTTATGACGGTCACAGTCTCCCAGGGTCACGTGATCCTCTTTTGTGACTTTCTGACAAGCAAAGTCGATGGGGCAAACCAGATTCACTTCACAACTGTGTTACGAAGTTAACAATTGCAGGGATTCACTTAAAAACTGTGGCAGGAAAAGTCGTAAAATGGCGCCAAACTCAGTTAATAACTGTCTCGCTTAGCAAACAGAAATTTTGGGCCCACTTGTGGTCGTTAAGTCGAGGATTACCTGTACACTGGAGCAAGGGGTCATCCGTGAGGGGGTTGGAGACTGGAGATCCTGTTTTATATTGGCCTGCTTTGTTCTTATCAGGCAGATCAGATCAGATGTAGTGGGCATAGAGCAGGGGTCTTCAAACTTGGCCACTTTTAAGACCTGTGGACTTCAACTCCCAGAATTCCTCAGCCAGTGGAGGAATTCTGGGAGTTGAAGTCCACAAGTCTTAAAGTGGTCAAGTTTGAAGACCCCTGGCATAGAGAGTTCCTGTCACAATGGTGTCCCTGGACGTGTGGGTGCTAAATTGGCAAACTGCTGGACACAGAGTCACAATACAAGTGTCTTGGGTACCTCCGTAGATGTCACACACACATTCCAGAGAGCCAGGGCTTGGATTACAACATTGCATCTGCCATCTTGTGATTTTGAAACCTTCTGCTGACACCCTTGAATCAATTAAAGAGAATATTTGTAGCTCTGGGTGGATCCGTGGAGTCCTTGGCGTTCTCTAAGCTTGGCGGTTTTCATGCAGACATTTCATTACCCAACTAGGCAACATGACCAGTTTGCACCGATGATGTTACCTAGTTGGGTAATGAAACGTCTGCCAGAAAACCACCAAGCTCAGACAGCACCAAGGACACCACACACCCTTTAATCGCTCCCTTAAAGGACCTTTCAGAGTGATTCTCTCCCCATTCTGATGGCAGGACAACTTGCCACAGCCAATTCGCCACAGCCAACCCACTGAAGGACAGTTCAACAATTCAATTTCATTATTTAAAATAATTGAAAAATTATTTTAATGTCTGTCACTCACATTTAATTTTGTCCCTTTTGTCCCTTTTTTCTTTAATGACTCTGTTCCACTCTTGCTTTGATATTAGTCCTACAGTGAGTTGGCTGTGGCAAATTGTCATAGACCCTTTTGATGGTGCAGTGCTTTGATTGCACCACTGAGTCACCAAGTTTTTAAACCAGGGGTCCCCAACCCCCGGTCCGTGAACTGGCACCGGGCTGTGATGTGCCAGCAACCAGTCCACGCAAACAAGCAAAGCTCCATCTGTGGGATGTAGGCAGCACACAAAACCACACATTCTCCGTTCCTTGGAAAAACCTCTCTCCACGGAACTGATCCCTGGTGCCCCAAAGGTTGGGGACCTCTGTTTTAAACCATGTCCTGCAGAGCTTCCTGGACCCCTAAAGGCAGGGACAAACTACCAGCTAAGCGGGTCCCAAAGTGTCTTTCTCTAACTTAGCCATCTGTACTGAGTCAACCGGTGCTAGGAAAACTACACAGGGTCTCCGTTTTAAAGTCCTCCTCTGCCTTTGTTCCAGATTTCAGGCTCCAGTTGCCCCAGATATCAAATATTTCGAACGTTGTATAGGAGACAGCATCTCCATTGCCATTGTCGGCTTCGCTGTTGCCTTTTCAGTGGCTAAAGTTTATTCCATTAAGCATGATTACCGCATAGACGGCAACCAGGTAAGCCTCTAGCGCAAAGGTCCCCAACCTTTCTCGGTTGGTGGACCGGAGGGAAATGGAGGGGGGGAAAGCATTTTTTTGCACACGCGCACACAAACTGGGCCATGAGCACACGCGACGCAAATGGGGCAGGGCTAGCGCCCACGTGACACTCACTAGCACTGCCCCATTTTTGTCGTGTGAGCACTAGTGCTGCCCCGTTTTCACTGTGCGGTGCCCCGCTTTTGCCGTGCAGCGTCCCGCTTTTGCCACGTGGTGCCCCATTATTGCCACGCAGTGCCCCGTTTTCACTGTGTGGTGCCCCATTTGCGTAGCGGCGGTGCTAGCACGAATGGGGGTGAGTGCACGCACATGTGTAGTGGGCTGCGGCCCACAGGTTGGGGACCCCTGCTCTAGCAACTGTCACAACTGTTGTAAGTCGAGGACTACCTTCTGTTACCTTGCAGCTTGTTAATTTGTGTGTGTTTTAAAGGAATTAATTGCCTTTGGAATCAGCAACATTTTTGGAGGGGTCTTCAAAGGATTTGCAGCAAGCACTTCTCTATCAAGGTCTGGAGTGCAAGAAAGCACCGGGGGCAAGACGCAGGTATCTGGAGATTTAAGGTGTTGCGGTAAATGAATTACTCCCAGTTGTTTTACAGGAAGTGTGTTAACCAAGGGCTTTTGTCCTACAGATTGCTGGACTCCTCTCAGCTATCATTGTCATGATTGCTATCTTAGCCATTGGCTTTCTCTTGGAACCACTGCAAAAGGTACCGGCTTTGGGATCTAGTGGGTTGGGTTGGGTTGCTACAGGTGGCATCCTTTTCTGTAACTGGTAGTCCTCGACATATGACCACAATTGACCCTGAATTTCTGTTGCTAATGAGACAGTTGTTAAGTGTGCTTTGCCCCCTTTTACGACCTTTCCTGCCACTGTTGTTCAGTGAATCACTGCAGTTAAGTTAGTAGAATAGAATAGAATAGAATAGAATAGAATAGAATAGAATAGAATAGAATAGAATAATGGAATGGAATGGAATGGAATGGAATAGAATAGAATAGAATAGAATAGAATAGAATAGAATAGAATAGAATAGAATAGAATAATAATGGAATAGAATAATGTAATGTAATGTAATGTAATGTAATGTAATGTAATGTAATAGAATAGAATAGAATAGAATAGAATAGAATAGAATAGAATAGAATAGAATAGAATAGAATAGAATAGATATGAAATGGAGAGAATAGAATAGAATAGAATAAAATAGAATAGAATAGAATAGAATAGAAAATGAAGAGAATAGAACAGAACAGAAGAGAATAGAATAGAATATGAAATGGAGAGAATAGAATAAAATAGAATAGAATAGAATAGAATAGAATATGAAATGGAGAGAATAGAATAGAATAGAATAGAATAGAATAGAATAGAATAGAATAGAATAGAATAGAATATGAAATGGAGAGAATAGAACAGAAGAGAAGAGAAGAGAATATGAAATGGAGTGAATAGAATAGAATAGAATAACTTTATTGTTGTCACTTCGAATGTACACTAATTGGCATGCATTAAAATGAAATGTTGTTGCATTCAGCTCTCAAAGGATCACCACCTCCTATCTACACTACATAAATATGACAAAAATAAATAAATAAATACAGAATGATGCATATACCCACATATATTATATGACACAGAGAGACAACACAGTCTTGTTCGGGTTATGCACATATGATCTGTTTCTGTTGCTCTCCACTGGGAGGAGGTTTCAAAGTATTTCTAGCAGGACTATCACTAAATGAATCGTTGTAAGTCGAAGACTATCTGTACCCTGAGATACTCCTCTCTCTCTCGTCTCTCTTTATTTCTTGTATTGTGGGGTTTTTTTTCCCATTTCCCATGTCTGTCTTTCAACATGTACGTTATTCTTTCATTGACAGTCAGTCCTTGCAGCTTTGGTTCTGGGCAATTTGAAGGGGATGTTGATGCAGTTCAAAGAGATTGGAATTCTGTGGAAAAAGGACAAGTGTGACTGCGTAAGTGACTCCTCGCCCAGCTGTGCAAATAGCGATTCAAACATAAACAATGTCATTGAACATGTCTGAAAGGGAGACCAAAAGCAGGGGAATCTGTCAGCCATTTTGTTCTGCTTTGGGGAAGTTGGTGATTCCCCCCCCCACACACACACACACTCTGCTCTCACCTTCACGAAAAGTTTATAAAAGGAGCCCTGGTGGCGCAGTGGTTAGAATGCAGTATTGCAGGCTAATTCTACCCGCTGCCAGGAGTTCAATCCTGACCAGCTCAAGATTGACTCAGCCTTCCATCCTTCCGAGGTCGGTAAAATGAGGACCCAGATTGCTGGGGGCAATATGATGACTCGGTAAACCGCTTAGAGAGGGCTTTGTAAAGCATTGTGAAGCAGTATATAAGTCTAAATGCTATTGCTATGCCTCCCTCCCTCCTTTCCTTCCTTCCTTCCTTCCTTCCTTCCTTCCTTCCTTCCTTCCTTCCTTCCTTCCTTCCTCTCTTATTCACTTTCTCATTCTCCTTCCTGGTAGCACAGTGGTTAGAATGCAGTATTGCAGGCTAATTCTGCCCGCTGCCAGGAGTTCAATCCTGACCGTCTTGAGGTTGACTCAGCCTTCCATCCTTCCAAGGTCAGTAAAATGTAAAATGAAGACCCAGATTGTTGGAGGCAACATGCTGACTCTGTAAACTACTTAGAGAGGGCTGTAAAGCACTGTGAAGCGGTATATAAGTCTTAAGTGCTATTGCTAAAAGGAGTTTCTTAATCAAATCCCGTACACTATTCAATCAACCATGCCAAATTAACTAATGTTAGTAAGTGCTTTCATTCGTAAATAGAATGCATGTTTGTGTATTTGGGTGAATATAGAAATAAGAGCAATGGACCCAAAAGAAGGTAACAAAGATCCATGGACCTGAATAAACATGTAACAACAAAGATATCATGGAGGGAGGCAAAACCTATTTTCAAGCACAGTCACACTGAACTGAAACTGAGCTGAAAATACACATTTGTGTATTCATGTTGATGGGATGTTTAATGCACAATCTTTCGTGCTCTCTGAATTTCATTGTTTTCTTGCAGAAGTCTCATTGCCCAAACTGGGCAACATTATCAGCGCAAACCCCACTTCCTTCTAGCACTGATGATGTTACCTAGTTGGGTCATGAAACGTCTGCAAGAAAACCACCAAGGTCAGAGAGCACCAAGGACCCCTCATTTCAATCCTGAGCTACAATATTCTCCTTTATTGGTGTCTAATGGGATATATAGTTTTATCAACAGGGTTTCCTTGACATTTCCAGACAGAACTGGGGAAAGTGTTTGAAAATCTGTAAAACCACTGCAAAACAGAGTTCAAAAAATGAAGCAAAATTGTTGGACAGTCACCTTCCCAGTCGGGAGGAGGGCTCACGTAGGGAATTAGCCTGGACTCATTACATAAATACAAGAGGGCGAAGTCTGAGTAGCCCTGAATGCCTTTGAGACTTATCTGGTCTTTCCCATGCGAAAGCTGCCAGTCAGGGAGATTCCTGTAGTATAGGCAGAGAACAATAAAGTAGCTAGTTTGAATTCTGGAGTTTGGTTGTTCGTACTTGACAAAAACAGACCAACATCTGACTTGATACAAGCCAGTGTCTAAAGTTCCGTACATTCTTAAATTCCTTGCATGCCTACTTAAAAAGCCACTACTACGTCTATATGTCAAACAATGATATTGTCATCTATTTATCAGCAATAATTTTTACAAAAAATGTTACATGAACCATCCCTACTGCTTCTAGCATAGTTTCTCATATCTTGCTGTTGGTGAGGACCAGAAATTCCTTGCTGGTAATTTTCTCTAGTCACATATATCAATGGTTTAATGTTTATTTTAATGTTTATTTTTTTGGTTAGCTTGTCTGGATTGTGACTTTCCTGGCTGCCCTTCTACTGGGACTGGATCTTGGCTTAGCTGCCGGCCTTGGATTTGAACTCCTGACAGTTGTATTCCGGGTCCAGTTGTAAGTAAATACTTATTTCATTTGTCAGTTCAACTTCCTGAAGCGGATTAAAGACATAAAGTCATTTCGAGTGGAGTGAAATCATTTAACCACCACATTATGGTCCATTTTCTGTCACAAATACACTACAGACAATATGCAGATCAATATATGCGCCATATTTTCCTATTTTTCACCTGGACTGATGCTGTAGTATCTCCAAGGAAGTAGCCATGATGCTGTTATCAAGTGGTACTAAGCCTGCAGTCCTATGCACTTGGTATAGGTAGTCCTCATTTAATGACAAATCACTTAGTGACCGTCCCAGGTTATGATGGAAACCCCCCCCCCCAAAAAATGTACTTGTGACTCAGATTTAAAATTCCAAAGCTCCCTCAGTCACATGCTCGTATTTTGGGCTACTTAGCAACCAGCTCGTATTTGCGGCCATTTGCAATATTCTGTGGTCACATGACTACGATTTTTGTCATTTTTTTGTGCCAGAAATTGGCGTATACTTCCAATTTACATGGGGGAAAACACCCATTAGAAACAAGGGATTCTCTTGTGATCTTTGCTTAATGATCGTGGCGTTTGCTTTATGACCGGCACCTTCGCTTAACAACCACCACACAAAAAAATTGTCATAAAATTGGGTCAGTCACATAATGACTGGCATGATTTACAGACATAATTCCAGGCTCAATTACAGTCCTAAGTCGAAGGCAGAGTCCCTAAAGACCTACAAACGCTAAAGATGTAGAGACTGCTAGAGAGCGTTGTTGTTGTTCAGCCATTAAATCATGTCCAACTCAATTCCTTGAAAGCAACCATTCCTTGAAAGCATCAATTCTTTGAAAGCATCCATTCTTAAGATGCTCAGCCTTATGGTCCAAGTCTCGCAGCCATACATTGCTACTGGAAAATACATTACTACTGGGAAAAGAGATTGCTTTCAGAATATCAATTTTGTCATTCTCTTTATATTTGCTTGAAGGTAGCACCATTGAGTCCAGCAAAGAATATTCCCAAATTTTGTAGCTTAAGGGATAATACAGATATAAGCAAAGGTCCGCATCATTATTAGAATAACAGTTGATCCCATTCATTCTGCATTAATCAGCTCATTTGCCTCTTCTCTTTTCAGTCCAAAATGTACACTTTTGGCTAATGTTGGAAGGAATGACGTCTACAGAAACAGAAAAGACTACTCAGACGTAAGAACACCGTGTTGTTAACTGCAGTAATTTAACACGCACAATTTTGGCAGTAGAGTGCCTCAAAATTAACAGGTGATGTTTTGCTGTCTAGATATACGAGCCAGAAGGAGTGAAAGTTTTCAGGTGCCCGTCTCCAATCTTTTTTGCTAATGTTGACTTCTTCAAGGAAAAATTGACTGCTGCGGTAAGTATTGCGTAGGCCATAATCTTAATAGAAATGATTTCCCATAAAACTTTTAATTTTGATACAGTGGTGGGATTCAAATACCTGAACAACTGGTTCTCTGCATGGATGCCACTTCCGGAAGTCAGTTGTGAGCCGGGAAGACCTCTCAGGCCCAGAACAGTCCACCGGAAGTGCATGGCGCCACTTCCGGAAGTCCATTCTGAGTCTCTGAGGCTTGGGGGAGGCCTCCCAGGCTCAGAACGGACTTCCAGAAGTGGAGTCCACGCACTTCCAGTAGGCTGTTCTAGACCTGGGAGGCTTCCCCGGCTCAGCACAGACTTCTGGAAGTGGCGTCCATGCATTTCCAGTGGGCCGTTCTAGGCCTGGGAGGCTTCTCCAGCTCAGAACGGACTTCCGGAAGTGGCATCCACATACTTCCAGTGGTCCGTTCTGGGCTTTGCGAAAAAATCTTTGTTTTTGCCTTGAGAACTATTTCAAATGCTCATGTGTGAATGTTTGCTAAGAGTTAGAAATTCAAACAGGTCAAAGAGATCTAGGATGATTGTACAGGTATTCCTCGACATACAACAGTTCATTTAGTGACCGTTCAAAGTTATAATGGCACTGAAAAATGTATCTTATGACCACTTTTCACACTGCGACTGTTGCAGCATCCCTGTGGTCACGTGATCAAAATTCAGTCACTTGGCAACTGACTCATATCTATGACGGTTGCAGCGTCCCAGGAGTCATGTGATCCCCTTTGGCGACCTTCTGACAAGCAAAGTCAATGGGGGAAGCCGGATTCACTTAACAACCGTGTTACTCCCTTAACAACTGCAGCAATTCATTTAACAAATGTGGCAAGGAAGGTCGTAAAATGGGGCAAAATTCACTTAACAAATGTCTCACTTAGCAACAGAAATTTTGGGCTCCATTGTGGTCGCACGTCAAGGAATATCTGCAACAATTAAACATATAACTAGAATCTATTTAAATCAAATCCATGTTTTCCACTTGAAAAAATACAGTAGATCGTACTAAGATGATTAAAAATATATATAATCAAATATCTGCTAAAACAATGATTCCATATTTCAGGTTGGTTTTAAACCATTGAGGGTGTTACAGAAACGCAACAAAGCTCTAAGGAAAATAAAGAAGATGTTAAAGAAGGGAGAACTTCAAGAAACTCCAGTAAGAATCCTTAATTATTTAAATGGTAACCACAAAAATTGTGACCGATCTCTCTTTCACGTGCACTCTCCTTCTACATCCAAAAGAAGCCACTCAGCCTTCAATTTCAGAACTGGCTGGTCAAGTGTTCCGATCTCTCTTTTCGTGGTTAAGAAGCGTTCCGAACATTTTCCTTCTTTCTTTCTATTTCATTCAGAAAGGTTTTATTTGTACCGTCACTAATGCGACCGACTCAGATGAAGAGCTGGACAACAACAGGATTGAAGAACTGAATCAGCCCATAAATACGAAGGATTTTCCAGTTCGGATAGACTGGAACGCAAGCCTGCCTCCCAACATCAGAGTTCCGAAAATTGACGTCCATAGCGTCATTCTTGATTTTTCAGCAGTGTCCTTTCTGGATGTTTCAGCTATGAGAATCATCGGAGAGGTAAAATTGTGCTGTGAGCTGCGCATAGGTGTCAGGAAGGGCATCCGGCTAGTAAGTGCTCAGCTCCTCTCAGTCACCCAGACTCCACCCCAATACAAGGGTTTTTAAAAGAATATAAAGATTGAGTTCACTCAGGATGAACTGTTCACGGATCCTTATGTGTGTGTATGTGTGTGTGTGTACTTGTGTGTGTGTGTGTATGAGTGAACCCAATCTTTACAGAACAGAGTTGGAAGGGACCTTGGGGGTCTTCTAGTCCAATCCCCTGCTCAAGTAGGAGATCCTACACCCGTGGTGGCAAACTTATGGCATGCGTGCCACAGGTGGCATGCAGAACCCTCTCTGTGGGCACCTGTGCCGTCACCCCAATCCTAGGCCTTCAGCTGGGTTTTATAAACCCTTTTTGCTTTAGGCCTCTGCCACTGTGTGCAAAAAAAAAAAAAGGCTCAATTAATCAATTTCAACTTCTTGGGGGGGAAAAAAAGACCTCGCAAAGTTGAAATTGATTGATTGAACTTTTTAGTCCCACCCAGTCTGCCATTACCACCGCAGCCATGCCCACCCAATGGGCCACACCCACCCAATGAGCCATGCCCACCCGGCACCCGATGATACATAAATGGGTTTTGGGTTGCAGTTTGGGCACTCGGTCTCTAAAAGGTTCCGGTAGTGACAGGATATGTAAGGTCTTTTTACCAATAGGTTAGAGAAGAATTTTTTAGAGGTCACTACTTCGTGGGTGTTGAAGACCTCTGTTGAGTTGCATTCCTTTGTTCTAGACTTGAACAAAGAGGGTTTCGAATAATCGGAAAGATTAGGGGTCTGATGTATCTCTATTTTATGTTAAGTACCTATGAGTAAACCTGCTATTGCTAATTACACTGATAGCAGACAGAACTGCAAGAATGTTATGCCGGTGGCTATTATTATATTTATATAGTTATTATTCTGCTATTATCGTATTCTAAATTATTGTACACGCCTTTGTCTGCCTAGAGTTAAATATCACCCATTTCTCCTTTGAACAGACTTTGAGAGAATTCATCCGGGTTGATGTTGAAGTTTATATTGTGGGCGCACATGGTAAGGCTCTTTCTTAGTGACTGTTTTGATTTCCTTACCGATGTCCATGTAAAACAATACTGTGTGTGTGTGTGTGTGTGTGAATTTAGATTTTGCTGACAAAGAGTTAAGGGAGACTAGTATAGCTATTTCGAGCTATTTAGCTCTCATCAGCTAGCCATACCCTTCTGAGATTCGAACCTGGGCTGCTTGCATGTTAGGCAGCTGTATTAACCTCTAGGCCACGGGTTCTCCTCACTTCTGTCAGCTGAACCAGGGAGGATACATAGTAATTGTATATATATATACGTAGTATATACATATACACATATGCATACGTATATGTAATGTATAAGTGTGTGTGCGTATATATGTATATGTATATATATATACATATGAGAATTAATTACGCTAAAAATCTGACTCTTGGGAATCATAGTAAACGAATAAAACCGAGCACCAAGAGAACCCGTCTGACATCATCAGGGCGTTAAAACAGCAGTCTGGGAGAAACCCTTATAAAATGTATGTGTCAATTGCTTGCATCCGGCTTCTGCTTCCGGCTTTATATTTTACTTCTCTTGGTGCTCGGTTTTATTCGTTTATATATACTATATATATATATACGTATATATGTGTGTGTATGTATGTAAATATAAAATATATAAATATAAAATTTTCGACGAAAATTTTTTTCCTTTATTGACGTGAGGATTACAATCTTTCACGTAAGGACGTTTACACTATGACTTGTGTTTTCTTTTATACACCTTGTTTAGTTTGCTATGTCTATCAGGAGGTAAATACTGGTCACGAGTACAAAATTTCCGTGGCCAGACAAAACAGGGGTTAAGTGAGTTTTGCCCCATTTTATGACCTTTCTTGCCACAGTTGTTAAGTTAATAACACGGGTTGTTAAGTGAAATCTGGCTTCCCCCATTGACTTTGCCTGTCAGACGTTTGCGAAAAGGGATCACATGAGCCTGAGACACGGCAACCATCATAAAATATGAACCGGTTGCCAAGCCTCTGAATTTTGATCACGTGACCACGGGGATGCTACAATGGTCATAAGCGTGAAAAACGGTCATAAGTAACTTTTTTCAGCGTTGTTGCAACTTCAAACAGTCACTAAATGAATTGTTGTGAGTCAAGGACTATCTGTATTGTTTAAAAATCAGTCACATCATTTTCTAGGCCTCTAATTCTGTTTCTCTTTTTCCCTCTTCTCTCTTTCTTTTTCCTTCCCTTTTTTTCCTCCAATCTACCCCTACACACACACACACACAAAGATGGTCTCCTGGAGAAGCTACAGAGATGTGGATTTTTTGATGATGAAATTAAGCCCTCCATATTTTTCCTGACCATTCACGATGCCATTTTACACATATTGATGAAGAAGGATATGATCACCCGCTTATCAAAATTCGAGGCCATCACGGTGAGACTGTTTGTCCGTATAGTTCAAAAACAAAACTTGGATCCCAGCGTTTTCAGAATGTAAAAGCAAAAACATCATTGAAGGATGACTGGAACTTGGCAACCCAAAATTTTCATGGTGATGAGAACATATTGGGGTTTCTCTTTTCCACTTCTATATCCCAAAGGTGCTTTTTCAAGAGGCAACTGGACTTTCTTGTTTTTCTTTGAAGACATTTCGCTTCTCATCCAAGAAGCTTCTTCAGCTCTGAGTAGATGGTGGGGAAAGGCCACTTTAATACTAGTTGGGATTAAAAGCACAAGCTTGAAAATTGTAAGAGTCAATTCCCAGGCAGTGTTAAAGCAAGCCAATCAAAGCAGCAGTGTCTTCTTTAAATGTTTCCTTCTGTTAGAAATTCTGCTTATATATAGCACCACAGCTCAAAAAAAGTGTACAGTCACCATGTGCTTTACTGCTTAACTGTTTAACTGTAACAGGAAACAGGAAACAGGAAACTCTACTTATGACGAAAGACCATAGAGTATATACCATAGATCCAAACTTGTAAACACTGCCATCTACTGGCTGAATACTACTGTAGTTGTTGCACAAAAATACATTCTAACAATGAATTCCAACACCTTTTCATGGCCTTCATATGTGGGTTAGATTGCCTCTTCTCACACCCACTGAATTGTTCCTTTACTGCCTGCTTCCTGCAGATGTCTACGACCATGGACTAAAACATGAGTGTTTGTAGGGTACAATGAAAAAAGTCCAAAGGGGGCGACAATGTGTCACGTTCTGCCCCTTTTTCATGTGGCTGCCATCTTAATTTTGTGGACCATAATTTACGGATCTCCCTAGACCAATTATTTCATGTAACCTAATTTGTGAACATAGGTACTCGAACTGAGATTGCTGTAGCTACAAATCAACAGAGATTTTTTTTAAAATTAAAATAAGGGAAACCCATTGTTAACAGCAGAATGTTTATTCCATTACAGGATAATCAAAACAACAATCACTATATAATTAACACGAGCGGAGGACTACGCAATCGGGACCTAAAGGTAAGGCTCTCTTCCTCATCTTGAATGGGATCAATAAAATTGAGAGTCTTTTGGTTGATATTGTGATAAAAGATTTATGTTTATGTTTTTTCAAATGAAAAATAATAAAAAATTTAAATACAAAAAAAATAAAATAAAATAAAATAAAATTGAGAGTCTATGACAGACTCTTGAACGTAGCTCTCCTAGAACACGGGTCCCCAACCCCCTGGCTGTGGCCCATTGCCAGGACTTGAGCAGTTTGAAACCAGGCCGCGGAAGTGTGAAGGGGGTGTGAGCACGTGCACACATCCCCACTTACGCAAGCAGCGGGCGTGCAGAACCATCCCTTCTCCCCCCTGCCAGTCCGCAAATCCAGAAAGATTGGGGAACTCCTAAAAGGCAGCTGAATTTTGATGAGAAGGAAAGTAGACCACAAGGACTCCTAATTACAAATATTTTCCATTTTAAACATGCTGAGGCAAATTCCCAGTTTCTCATTGCTAAATACATTTAGTCCTCGATTTACGTCCACAACTGAGCTCAAAATTTCTGCGGCTAAGCGAGACAGCTGCTAAAAGTGAGTTTTGCTCCATTTTACGACCTTTCTTGCCAGCGTTGTTAAGTGAAACACTGCAGTTCACTTCGTAACACTGCTGTTAAGGGAGTCTCGCTTCCCCATTGACCTCGCTTGTCAGACAATCGCAAAAGGGGATCCCATGACCCCGGGACAGTGCAACCGTTGTAAATACGAATCAGTGGTCGAGTATCTGAATTTCGTCTTTCACAAGCTTGAAAGACAGTCGTACGTCGCTTTTTTCAGCGCTCTTGTAACTTTGAACAGTCACTTGAACACTGGGCGCTATCTAACAAAATGAAATTCAAGGGTGAAAAAAGCAAGGTTCTACATTTAGGCAAGAAAAACCAAATGTACAGGTATAGTAGAGGGGGTACCTTGCTCAATAGAAGTAACTGTGAGAGGGACCTCGGAGTCCTAGTGGACAATCACCTAAATGTGAGCCAGCCGTGTGCTGCAACTGCCAAAAAAGCCAACACAGTGCTAGGCTGCATTAACAGAGGGATAGAATCAAGATCATGTGAAGTATTAATACCACTTTAAAAGGCCTTGGTAAGGCCACACTTGGAATACTGCATCCAGTTTTGGTCACCACGATGTAAAAAAGATGTTGAGACTCTAGAAAGAGTACAGAGAAGAGCAACAAAGATGATTAGGGGACTGGAGGCTAAAACATATAAGGAACGGTTGCTGGAATTGGGTATGTCTAATTTAACGAAGAGAAGGACGAGGGGGGACATGATAGCAGTCTTCCAATATCTCAGGGGCTGCCCCAAAGAAGAGGCAGTCAAGCTATTTTCCAAAGCGCCTGAAGGCAGGACAAGGAGCAACGGGTGGAAGCTAACCAAAGAGAGAAGCAACATAGAACTAAGGAGAAACTTCCTGGCAGTTAGAACAATTAACCAGTGGAACAACCTGCCTCTAGAAGCAGTGAATGCTCCAACACTGGAGAGGTTTTTAAGAAGAGACTGGACAGCCATTTGTCCGAAATGGTATAGGGTTTCCTGCCTGAGCAGGGGGTTGGACTAGATGACCTCCAAGGTCCCTTCCAACTTTACTTACTATTACTATTACTATTACTAAATGAACTATTGTTAAGTCGAGGACTGCCTGCACGTTTTTTTCTGGATCCAATTCCACTTTTGGTGATCACGTCAGGCATAACCGCTTTTGGGGCAACTCTACGAAAGTGGCTTGCTGTTCTTTGACTTCCTAAATCTTTGTTTCTTTCGTTCCCACAGGAATTAATAGAAACGAGAATGTAAAAGGAGGACGGGCGAAGAACCAGCCAATCTGGAAACAATTGATAAAAGGAGATCAAATGTTGGTTCTCCAACAGGATCCCACATTGAGTGAGGACAGAGGGGAGGGCCCGTCCCTCTTGTAAGGACATAAGTCACATACACAAACATGTATGTACAAAAGAAGGTGGAACTTCAACTACTGGCCATGCCCAACTTCCAGCAGATTTTATTCCTTCCACGGATGCTTCAGCATCGTAGGCAACCATTTTTGCCTCTTAAACTTTTTTTTAACGTCATAATAATAATAATAATAATAATAATAATAATAATAATAATAGTAAAGTTGGAAGGGACCTTGAAGGTCATCTAGTCCAACCCCCTGCTTGTTTGTTTTGTTTTGTTTTTCATGGTTTCTTCAAAAAAAAAATGTTTTGGGGTTTTTTTTATTTTAACTTTTTTTAAAAAATAAAATTAAAACAGATTTTTTAAAAAAGGAAGCACTTAAGCAGGCTATCCCTGTACATGAGTGTGTAGATGGCATATTATGTGAAAATCCTGATCTCAAAGAACACTTGGTTTATGCAGTTTCCCCAAAGATTAAATATCCATTTTTATTGTATATTCCTCTACTATGCAAATATGTATATACAGTATGTGTAAATTATTCCGTTTATCGGTTGAAGATTGTACATTTCCACGTTGTAAATTGTTTATAGGCTTCGGGGTTTTTTTTCTCATCGTTTTCAATACTTTGTATTTTGTTATGTAAATATTGCTTCCATAGAAGTTTTTTTGGGTTTTTTGTTTTTTAAGCAAAGGCCTTTATAATTTATAAACGCAATCAGGACCAGAATTTCCCGTTTCTGAGCAAGGCGGGACTCGCACTCGGTTTAAAGACCTTTTTTTTTTTATCACACTCATTAGGCAAATCGCTGAAGTTGTTAAGTAAAACGTGTGGTTGTTAAATGAGTGTAACTCCCCCCTTCCCGTTGATTTCGCTTGTCGGGAGGGCCCAAATTTTGATCATGTGAACTTGGGGCTGCTGTGACGGTCGTTAAGTTCAAGACTCGGTTGTAAGTTAATTTTCTTTTTGTAACTTTGAACAGTCGCTAAACGGGTGTCAATTGAAGACTATCTCTGACTTGCTGTTTATTTGAGCAAAATGAAAACCCTAAAAAATAAAATCCTCTTTTAAAGAATGAATGCTTTAAGGTCTATAGATCTGTGGCATTTTAAAACCAACGAGAAAAGCTCAACGGCCTTTTGATGTTAGGAGTGGCCCGTGATTGATTAAAAAAAAAGTCTCTGTCCGATGGAATCTGAATTTGATTCCTAGTATTTACCTCCTTCCCGTAGTTTTAAAATCCGAATTGTGCTTGAAATCTAAAAATTGGCATGATTGAATATTGCCACGCTTCTTCATATTGCAGCAAACCAGTTTGCTACCCAGAAATGTTAACTATCCAATCCCAGCGGACATCTTTCTCTGATACGCTTGATTTTTAATGCAATTTCGGTAAGCATATTTCACGTTTTTTTTAAAAGAGAATGCTGCATTATATATTTCTGTGCTTAAACGGTGTGGTCCTTATTCGTAAAATTGTCTCCCAGCAACTAGTACTATCCTAACTTCTCATATATTTACAAGGCAATCTTACACATCACAAGTTCTCCAAGATGGCAACACTATACTTTACCAATAAAAGAAAATATTTGTAGCTCACAGCTGAAATGAGGGATCCTTGTTTCTTTGCAGATGTTTCATTATTCAAACTAGCCACCATCACTGCTGGATACTTTCCGATGATACACGCATTTTTGTGACCCTCTGTTAAATCAGATCAGATAATAAATGTGCTGTGATTCATGGCTGGTTTTAACTCACAGGAACAGCCATCTGTTAATCTGTAGATATTTACTCCAGGTTTTTCTCTCTGCTTTAATACTACTCCTTGACCCACACAAGCCTAATCCACTGTAAAACCAAAAATAACGCCAGTGTTTGAATATAACATGTTGCTTCGATGCTTGGTGAAATATAAATACTGTGCGTTGAACTGACGCAAAAGACGATTTTAACTTCAGGCCGCCCTTATTTTCAGAATCAATCAAAGCCTTTTCCTTAGAAAAAACTTCATTTTTCCAGCTTGAAGAAGAATAATAAAGAAAATCAAATCATTTCTCTTTACTCCTCGGCCCACCCCAATCTCACGTAAAAGAGCAAGCAGTTTTGGACAATAAATTTAATTATACACGGCTTGACACAAAAAAAAGTATCACAACGAAACTATCCAGATTTAACCAAAAATACTTTAAAGTGGTACAGTAAATGTGGTTGTCGGGAGGCCTTTATAAACGTTTTATAATCTCTGGGACAAGTCAGTCAGACTAGGGATACAAAAATCTTTTAAAACGCTGCTGTCCGCTACAGAGCCACTTAGCTTACAGGGTACCAGGTGTCAAGAATCCTATAATCAAAGTTTTCTTTTTTAAAAAACAAAAACAAAAAATATTAAGCTTTAAATCCCCCCGAGAGCATTATAGTCAGAAATTACCTTTTTTTTTTCCTTCTTCAAGAAACAAAGCAAAAAAACAGAAAAGAGAGCTCCTTAAACAGTCGGAATTCATGAAAAGGCTTCTGCTTAGAACACGTTATCCTTCGATCGTGTTTTAGTTCCAATCGTTAACGACTATCATTGATAGTATGGCCTGTATCTGGCTTGGTCGGGGTGGTGAGGTCCCGGAAGTTGCGCTTGAGAAGGCGGGCCTTGCATTCGGGGCGGCGGGGGCGGCCCCCTCGGAGCTGGCCATATGCCTGGGCTCATCCCCCCGGGCTGAGTGAACGGCGGGCTGAGAGTTCCTTGGTCTTCGTTGAACTTCTGCAGAGCGTTCGGGTTGTAATGGTGAGGAGGGGGTGCGTTGACGTTGACGGGGGGCCCGCCGTGCTGGGGCGGCGGCCCAGGGGGAGGGTGGTTCATGTAAGGAGGAAGTTGCCCGATGATGTGTCCAGGAGGCGGGGTGATAGGGGGAGGAGCCGAGGTCATCGGAGGGGGTGGGGCTTGGCTGTAAACAAGGTGAGGGGTACCTGCCCCCTGGGGAGGGTGCTGCATGGGGTGGCTGATGGGGGGCGGGGGAGGAGGGGGCGGGGCGTAGTGCTGCTGGGGAGGCATGATATGGTGCGGGTGGGACACCACGGGCTGGCCCTGATATTCGGGGTGGTGGTGAGCCGGGCCCGGGCCCGGCGGGGGCGGCTCGCGAGTGCCGGAGCTCGAATCGTCCTGGATAGGGACGGTGATGAGGTTGCTGTGCTTCCGGGTGGAGATGCGGAAGGTGTCCTGGTTGACGGGGCGAGGGGGAGGCGGCGCCATGGACATCTCGGCGGGGGAGGCCCGGATGTCCTCGTGGGGCTGGTTGTAATGCTCGTGGGACACGTGCTGCAGCGGCGGTGGGGGCGGCATCAGGAGGTGCTGCTTCGGCGGGAGGTGGCTCAGGTGATGCTTCTCGGGCGGCAGAATGAACCGCTCCGGGATTTCCGCTGGAGGAGGAGCGATAGGAGGGTGGACGGGTTCGAGAGGAGGACGCGCCACCGGCTTGCCGGCTCTCATGTGCCGGTGGTTGATGTGAGCCTGGAGGTCCCTCTGAGACAAGTAGGTTCTCTTGCAGCCCTGCACGATGCTGCACATGAACAGAGAGCCGCGGAGGCACTGCTCAATTCGCTGCACCGGCTCGTTGCAGCTGGATCAGAGAAAGAAAGAAGAGTGGGTTGGCAGACACTGCTGTTACTCAAACCAAAACAGAGGGGACAGTACAGTTCTCGACTTACAACCGCAGCTGGGAACAGAATTTCCGTTGCTAAGCAAGGCGGGTGTTGAGTGAGCTGTGCTCGATTTTGCGCCCGTTTTTGGCCACCATGAATCACTGCAGTTAAGTGAAGCATGCAGGCGTTACGTCAATCCCGTCCCACTTCCCCCCACTGACTTTGCTTGTGGGAAGCTAGCTGGGAGGGTTGGAAGTGGCAATCACATGACCCCGGGATGCTCTAAATGGTTGCCAAGGGCCCAAACTTCGATCATGTGACTGGGGATGATGCTGTGATGGCTTCAGTGTGAGGACCGGGGTTTTTTTTCTCACAGTGATGCTGTAACTTTGAACTGTTGCTAAATGAACGGTTGTGAGGACCAGTTTTTTTCCTCACAGTGACGCTGTAACATTGAACTGTTGCTAAATGAATGTTTGTGAGGATCGGTTTTTTCCCCCTCACCATGACGCTGTAACTTTGAACTGTTGCTAAATGAGCGGTTGTGAGGACCGGGTTTTTTTTTTCCTTACAGTGACGCTGTAACTTTGAACTGTTGCTAAATGAATCGTTGTGAGGACCGGGTTTTTTTCCTCACAGTGACGCTGTAACTTTGAACTGTTACTAAATGAACCGTTGTGAGGACCGGGTTTTTTTCCTCACAGTGACGCTGTAACTTTGAATTGTTGCTAAATGAACGATTGTTAAGTCAAGGATTCCCTGTATACGGGTAGTCCTTGTCTTACAACAGTTCGCTTAATGACCGTTCAAAGTTACTGCGGCACTGAAAAATGTGATTTATGACCGTTTTTCATACTTACAACCATTGAATTATCCCTGTGGTCATGTGATCAGAATTCAGATGCTGGGCAACTGGTTCATACTTATGACGGTCGCAGTGTCCCGGGGAGGTCACGTGATCCCCTTTTGCGACCTTCTGACAGGCAAAGCCAGTGGGGTTAGCCAGATTTGCTTAACAACCGGGTTACTGACTTACCAACTGCAGCGATTCACTTGCCGACGGTGGTAAGAAAGGTCGTAAGATGGGGCAAAACTCACTTAGCAAATATCTCACTGAACAACAGAAATCTTGGGCTCCATTGTAGTTGTAAGTTGAGGACTGCCTATATTCTTTAAGTACAATTATTGTATTCTGTGTTGGCTCTTGGTTCTGAACTGGAGTTTGCACTGAGCTGATGGAGATGTAGGACGATAGGACGATATCCTGTTTCCGCGAAAATATTAATTTTTGCTCCAAAAGATGCATTAGGGCAGTGGTGGTGAACCTATGGCACGCGTGCCGCAGGCGGCACTCGGAGCCCTCTCTGTGGGCACACGTGCCATTGCCCCAGCCTCACCGCCCCCCACGACCACCTCACCAGCAGCCCCCCTGGAGGAGAGTCGCCCCCGAGTGTGGTCTACACGGAGCAGCACAGCCAAAGACATGGCAGCCAGGCAGCATAGACAAGACTCTGCCCTCACGCCCCATCCCGCACAGTTGATGCTGCGGGGCGCAGGCAGAGGGCGTGGCCGCCATGGTGCTGCTGGGCTACCTGGGCGATCTGCGGCAGGCCCTGGAGGCGGGGAGTGGCCCTGCGGGCAGGCAGGGTGGAGGACGGGGTGGGGGCGGAGCAGGGGCACGGCACGGGGTGGAGTAGGGGCAGGGCCAGTTTTTGGGCACTCGGTCTCTAAAAAGTTCACCATCACTGCATTAGGTCTTATTTTCCGGTTAGGTCTTATTTTCAGGGAAATACGGTACTAAATGCGTCCGTCTGGCTGATGATCTTAACTGGGACTTATTTTGGGGGTGGGCTTCTATTACAAGCATCCTGAAAAATCACGCTGGGTCTTATTTTCCAGCTGGGTCTTATTTTGAGGGAAAGACGGTAATAAACAATGGATTTTATCTGGAATTCCATAATGCCACTGGGTCTAATGAACCACAGGCTGATTATTGTATTCTGATCCATTTATCTGCTATAACGTGCTGTAGAGTGGAAGCCTCACTGCTGTCAGCTAACCCTAAAATGAGTATTTCTTTGGAGGTGTCCAGTGCCATCCAAACGCAGAGCAAATGTGGTCCAATCACAAACGTCTTTTCTTCTCGGCTCCGAAAGAGAGCTGATTCGTGCCTCAAAATGGAGTCGAGTAAAGATCAGGAATAAATGACAGATTATCAGCTCCCCACAAAAACGCTCCTTGAGAAAACTTACCCCGGACACATCTTGTCCCCTTTCTTCTCGTGTAAGAGCGCACACTCGTAGCAGAAAACGTGCTTGCAGGGTATCTATTTAAAAAAAACAACACAAAAATAGACAACTCTTTTAATTGCTTCAGTGAATGAATGAAGGAATGGATGAACTTTGCTAAATCTGCCCTTTAAAACAGGACAGTGTTTTCTATTCTTATTTTACATTTCGATTTTACATCCAAATAATTTATTTATACACACACATACACACGCACAAAGATTGTTTAGCAACTGAGGAGCAATTAATGAATATCAACTAATAATACCAAAAGAAACAAAGTGACCTAGAAATAAAAATGCCTGTGCCTGAATTGTTCAAAGGACTAGGACAGGGGTCTTCAAACTTAGCCCTTTCATGACCCGTGGACTTCAACTCCCAGAATTCCTGAGCCAGTATAGCTCAGCTTGGAAACCTCTCCCTTTCCCCTCAGCGTACCTGGCTGAGGAATTCTGGGAGTTGAAGTCCACAAGTCATCAAAGGGCCAGGTTTGAAGACCCCTGGACTAGGACAATGAAAATATATTTATATATGATTTGACTGCTTTTCTCTCTCCCTCTGCTGGACATTCAAAGGTTATACAAAACCTTTTACTTTTGAAATGTATATATAATGAATGGCAGACACAAAGGCTGGATGGACTATAGCAGACATCTTTTAAAAAATAGTATTGGGATGATCTGTGGGTCATTTTGATCTATCTATCTATCTATCTATCTATCTATCTATCTATCTATCTATCTATCTATCTATCTATCTATCTATCTATCTATCAATCTATCTATCTATCTATCTATCTCAGGGGTAGGCAACCTTGGCTCTTTTATGACTCATGGACCTCAACTCCCAGAATTCCCGAGCCAGCATGGCTCAGCTTGGAAACCTCTCCCTTTTCCCTCAGCATGGCTGGCTCAGGAATTCTGGGAGTTGAAGTCCACGAGTCATAAAAGAGCCAAGGTTGCCTACCCCTGATCTATCTAATCTATTTATTTATCTAATCTATCTTGGCCCTTGGTGCTCTCTGAGCTTGGTGGCTTTCTTGCAGACATTTCATTACCCAACTAGGTAACATCATCTCTGCTAGAAGGGAATGAGATGTTCAAATGAAAGCAAACCCCATAACCTTCTAGCACTGATGATGTTACCTAGTTTGGCAATGAAACGTCTGCAAGAAAAAAACCAAGCTCAGAGAGCGCCAAGGACCCCCTCATTTCTGCCTTTTCTCTCCTCAAAGTGTTAAGAAACCCCGCCACTGATTTCCAGTCATTCTAGTTGGTGACAACTGCAAAGGCTATCAAAAGAAGGATACTGAAAAACCGTAGACTTCAGCTTGCCCACCCCATTATTTAAAGCCAACCCAAAACCGTTTGTGTGTGTTGGTTTTCATCTCACACAACATCCCATTCAACAGGGCTCTGACACATCGACAGAATACAGCATCCTTTTTCAGAAAGAAAACACACACCGTTCTCGGTATCAGGACTACGATGGAAGGCATCAAATCTTTTGACTTACCATGCGCCCGTACATTTTAATGGGTAACCCACATTTGTCACAGAAATGGACTGGGGTGTCATCCTTCTCTCCGAGTAGATTTAGCTGCCAAAATACAAATATTGTGTTTCATTAGCCGATCGTCATCCTGTGCTTACAGACTTAGCGAACGCATCTTTAGAAAACCCCGATTTTTGTTAAAACTTTTCAGCTTTTACCAATTCGATTAGGTTCTCGAAATATAAAATACAAAGACGAATGAAATGAAAGAAAAAGGGAGGAAAAAGGGGGAGAGGAGAAAGGGGGAAGATTAAAGAAAAGCATTGTTTTTGTGCTCTTTGTAGCGCAGAAAAAAAAAATAAAACAACAACATTTCGGGCTCAACTTTTTATAGTAGTGTATAGCAGCCATTTCTGTAATTCGGTTTTCTTAAAATTTTCAATAGCGTTTTGTTAGATCGCTATTGCACATTTATTAACACACAATTCCCACTGTGTTTTTTTTAAAAAGGGAGCGAACTCCTGGTGGAAACATCTGAATTTGTATAAGCAAGCTAACATGTTATTTACTCTTGAGTCAATTCCCATACCTTGAAGTCCCAGAAGAGGAGCCCAGGGAATCTTCGCTGGTTGCTAAACACGTCCGCACCTTTGCACTCATACCGTTCTTCATCGTTGTAATCAAACTCTTATGGAAAACAAAAGTCAAAAACAAAATTTTCGGCGTTAGCTCTCACCCTAATCGGTAAAATTCTAGCCTAAAAATGAATTAGAATTTCCCAATCTCATTGTAAGTCAGAGTGGCACAGTTAATTCGGATAAATACACCTGTCCGGGCTGACTCGGATTCTATCGCTCCCTGCAATACCAATTCCAATATAACTGAAATGTTTTCTCCATAATCAAAATACACGCTTGGATATTATTCATCATCCATATTGGAAATGACAGGGCAGAAAGAGGCCACGTAAGAGACTAATGCCAACAGTATTTGAAAGATGGAACCTAAGTGCAGTTAGTCCTCATTTAGCAACCGCAATTAGGACCGGCCGTTAAGTGAAGCAGTTGCTAAAGGAAACCGCCAATTGCGGTTATGATCTTACTTCTGATTTCCTTTGCTTGCAAACCTGCAAATTTTGTACATGGGAGGGTTGATTGCAAAGATACTTTTTCATCATCCTCTTAACACTCATCAAAGGAGTCAGTCACAAACTGGAACTAAGGAGAAACTTCCTGACAGTGAGGACAATCAACCAGTGGAACAGCTTGCCACCAGAAGTCGTGAGCGCTCCATCATTGGAGATTTTCAAGAAGAGACTGGACATCCACCTGTCTGAGATGGTGTAGGTTCTCCTGCTTGAGCAGGGGGCTGGACTAGAAAACCTCCAGGGTCCCCCTTCCAGCTACAGTCTATTCTATCATTCTAAATGACTCAAGACCTACAGTAGTGGCCAAAATTGTGGACACCTTTTGGGAAAAGTGTATTTTTGAGTTTTGATGGCTAATAACACCACTTTTTTTGGGGGGGGGAGTAGTATCATAAAATTATATATCAATGGAAAAATAATTTAATCAAGAACGTAATGCAACATAGTTTGTTCAATTATCTGTACTGCATTCTATGAAAAGTTATAACCAAATAACCAGAAAAAGGAAGCACAACTTGCTTAGGTTGGTATCAGGTAGCTTTCCTTCATCTGATTGTAGCCAATGAGCATGAGTGTTTAGAGAGCCAATCAGGTGTCCTCTTGTTGTGGCAATGAGCCAATCGGATCACAGTAGGATCCAGTTATTGATCTCATGTATTGACGCTGAGAGGAGGACATTTGTCAGTGTGTTATGTGATGGCTATAGAGTTGGTTGGGGTTTTTTTTGTGTTCTTTCACTTAGTGAGCTTGTAAAACGTAATAAAATTAAAGCAGTGGTGCAAAGAGTTGACTGGTCGCCCAGAAAGCGATGTAAAATAGTTATTATTAAGTGAACAAGGCTACAGTTATAAAGAAATTAGAAGAAAAATGGGTGGAAACTTAACCAAAGGTGGCATTTCTAACTGTACACTTTTCCCAAAATTTTGGCCACTCCTGTATGTGAATGCTAACTGAAGAGGTGTCTCTAAAAGTCCACTCTGTTAATAAAGACATCACAACACACATGACAGATATACACAGACCGACAGAGGCTTCTCCTCTGTCTTTGTATTCATCTTGAGCTGAAAAGTCTATCCATCTCTTCAGAAAAATGATGAATGGATGTCAGAAAGGGCAAAAAAAAAACCAAAAACCCCAAAACATTCCAGAATTTCAACAGAACGCTGTCCAAATGGGTTTTACCTTCGTCTCCAGCCTTTGAAGGGACCCTGTTCATATTTCTTGTAGGGCGAGGGGGTGTCGGTTTGGCCTTGATGTTCTGCTTGGAGATCAGCTTTATAGGAATACGCCGACGGACATCCAGACCCCCCAAAGTCCCGGAACTGTTTGTGCCTTGCAAGTCACTGTCTGCATAAAAACAACAACAACAAATGCACACACGACGCGATTGGCAAGTTTCCCATTTCTCCAGGTCCGATGGAGCAGTGGACCTCTTCGCAAATCTAGGCTGTATTTCTGCAACCTAATCGCAGCCTAGTTTTTGGACATTATCCTTTAATTGCAGAAACAGGAGGACGGGACGAATTTTGAGAACAGTCAACAGTACTGAGGATCGGCTTATTTTATTTGATGGTTAATTTGACAGGTTTGATTGCTACTAATTATTACAAAGCTTTCTTCTCAGTGAGGTCCCAATATTATCATCTACTTTCTTCACTGAAGGGAGGAAGACAATAACGGTTAAACTGATTCACAGTAAGGGAAGAGATAAAGAAGAAGTATTCTCTTAAATACCTCAATCTTCTTCAGGTTACTGAGGCTTTGCTTCTTTAATATCAAAACCAACTTAAGACAGTAAAGTCTCCTCTCACACATGAATGTTGGAGCATTCACAACTTCTGGAGGCAGGTTGTTCCACTGATTAATTGTTCTAACTGTCAGGAAGTTTCTCCTTAGTTCTAGGTTGCTTCTTTCTCAGATGGAAACTAATTAAAGAGAGAAGCAACCTAGAACTAAGGAGAAATTTCCTGACAGTCAGAACAATTAACCAGTGGAACAACCTGCCTCCAGAAGTTGTGAAGGCTCCAACACTGGAAGTTTTTAAGAAGAGACTGGACAACCATTTGTCTGAAATGATATAGGGCTTCCTGCCTGAGCAGGGGGTTGGACTAGATGACCTCCGAGGTTCTGTTCTATTCTATTCTCTATTCTATTTTCTATTCTATTTTATTTTCTATTCTATTTTATTTTCTATTCTATTTTATTTTATTTTCTATTCTATTTTATTTTCTATTCTATTTTATTTTATTTTCTATTCTATTTTCTCTTCTGTTCTGTTCTCTTCTATTTTCTCTTCTCTTCTCTTCTCCATCCACCTTCACTGTGACATCTTTGGCTGAATCCCTCTGTCCTCACCTCCAGCTGAAATAAAACTCGAAGTACAGGCAGTCCTCAACTCACAACAGTTCATTTAGTAGTGACTGTCCGAAGTTACGACGGCACTGAAAAAAGTGACTTAGGACCGTTTTTCAGAGTTACGACCTTTGCAGCACCCCCAGGGTCACGTGATCAAAATTCAGACGCTGGGCAACTGGTTTCATCTATATCAGTGGTTCTCAACCTTTTTAATGCCGCGACCCCAACCGGTCGTAAGTCGAGGACTAAACCAGTCGTAAGTCGAGGACTAAACCGGTCATAAGTCGAGGACTTTCCCTGCCCGGGAGCGCCGCACATGCGTGGTTCCGCCCCCTGCGCCGGCCGAGGCGTAGCTGGCAAGCGGCAGAGACGGAGCAGGCCGACCACCAGCTGGCCCAGCCCAAGGGAGGTAAGGCACCCGCCGGAAAAGGGGGGAAAATGGCGGACAGCCTTGCCTGGCGACCCCCGTGAAATGGTCGATCGACCCCAAATGGGGTCACGACCCATAGGTTGAGAACCACTGATCTATATCATCTATTGTAGTGTCCGCAGGGTCACGTGATCACCCTTTTGAGACCTCCTGACAAGCAAAGTCAATGGGGGGGGGGGAAGCCAGATTCACTTAACAACCGTGTTGCTAACTTAACAACTGGTGTGATTCCCTTAACAACTGTGGCAAGAAAGGTCGTAAAATTTGGCGAAACTCACTTAACAAATGTCTCACTTATTAACAGGAGTTTTAGGCTCAATTGTGGTCGTAAGTTGAGGATTTTACCTGGACTTATAACCTCATTTGCTCTGATTCGTGCTCAGCTGTCCCGGTCTCTTCTCCTGTTTGCCGTGTTTTTTAGTTGGCAAGCACACTGCACAATTTTAGATTATAAGTTCCCTGGATTCTGTACGGAAGTCATTGTTTCATGATTACCTTTGCCATGAAGCACTTTTACACCTGAAATTGATTGATTTCTCTACAAAATATAGAACCCACAAACGAACAATTACCCTTATGTGGGAACCTATCATATATAGCCACGTTGAACAAGCCATCCTGTACTTTTCAGAGCCGTTTGGAAGCAGATCTGTTCCTCCGCTCGCAAAAAAGAGAGAATGTGACGGTGCTTTTTTAGCATGTGTAAAAGTTATTCATCTTCAAGGTTTATAAGAAACTCATCCGTTAATAAAGTTTATGTTGGCATCAATACGGTCCAAACCATAAAAGAGAGTTAAACCCTACAACTTACACTAGAAGTATATACGGGAAAATGTATGTTGCTTATCAAAACAACTGAGAATTTAATTTAGTTCATGATGTGTTGTCCAATCATAAGGGATTCTCACCCCATAGGACAGTGGTGACGTACCTATGGCACGCGTGCCAGAGGCGGCACTCGGAGCCCTCTCTGTGGGCACGCGCGTCTCGCTCTTTGGCTAAGTTTTCGCAGGAAAAAGCCATTTCCCAAGCCCCTTCCTAGCCAAAAAAGCCTCCGGAGCAACAAACCTTGAATTATATCAAATCTGACACCAGAAACAGACTAACAGATGACCTGAGTGCTGCATGTGTTGCTCTCAAACTTACAAGGTATAAGCCAAGGTTAGACAAATTATCAGGATGCATACAACAGCAAAAATCACATTAATTGTTCAAAAGCATGCCAAATGCAAACTTTTATCTTTCAGTAAAAAGTTGTTTGTATCATTGAAAGCTCTGTTATTGTGTTTTTCTCTTAAGACAAAAGATGTTAATGTATGAGTTGTTTTTTCTAAACTAAAACCTGAGTATTCAGATTAAATTGCCGTGTTGGCACTTTACGATAAATAAGTGGGTTTTGGCTTGCAGTTTGGGCACTCGGTCTCTAAAAGGTTCTCCATCACTGCCATAGGACCTTCAAATTTCTAACATTTTCAAATACATATTATACTCAGTCCATCCAAAACAGCAACAATGCAGTAATACCTACCGCTGTATATAAACATGTAAAAGGAACAGCTGAACAAAAAAAACTACTGTATACTTTATCATACACTTTAATACAGCAGCCTGTAAGAAGATATACAACTCTTCCTGATCAAGATAAGATAGGAGGGAATTTTAATCAGTAGTATGTAGATGTCATGTAGCTGGGACACGAAATGCAACAAAATCAACAGCCCTACAGGCAGAAGTTTTCAATGCTTATTCAAATGATCTTAAAACTGCCAAAAACTGAGTTTCCATCGATACTAATTAAGAGCATACCAGATAATTTAAGCGATCTGAACCCTCTCTAGTAAATCAACTAACTCACCAACAGAATATTTCTACACGGTCGTGTCACCATTCAAATGGCTTCTCCTATTATCAATTTCAAAGCCAACATTGTCAAGTTTATATTTTACACTGGTAACATGACTTCTGGGTCAGGCTGTGCACAATTAATTTGTGCTGTTTCACTAGCAATTCAGTGAGTTTTTTTCAGAACAGACTGAAATTAACTCTCACTGGCCAAAGATGTTATGCCCATTTTTATACGGCCTCTGCTCAGCGGAATGGAATGCTCACAATTAATCACCTAACCGCCATGTAGATGACAGTTGATAACATATTATTCTTCCTGACATTTATTAATGGAAATGGGGAAAGGCTTTATTTCATTTACTGATATTAGGAATAGGCCAACTGACGATAGAAATTCTCTGAATATAATTTTTTTTAAAAATGTGTTGCAGTAAGAACAGCAGCAAATGGAAAATGACTAGTCTACTGATAACTACCAAAAAAACACAACCCAACAAATATATTACTGTATGTTCTTGTATAATGCTTCAATTTTTAAGATAGCGTAGATTCTTGACTGTTTTTGCTGTAACGTGAGTCACAGGCCTATCCCACTGGAAACTATTAAAAGTCAATGAACAGAAAACAAAAGAAATACAACTAAACTCACGACGACTTAAAACAAAAACTTAAAACTTTAGAAAGAGTGCAGAGAAGAGCAACAAAGATGATTAGGGGACTGGAGGCTAAAGGATATAAGGAACGGCTGCTGGAATTGGGTATGTCTAGTTTAACGAAGAGAAGGGCGAGGGGGGACATGATAGCAGTGTTCCAATATCTCAGGGGCTGCCCCAAAGAAGAGGGAGTCAAGCTATTCTCCAAAGCGCCTGAAGGCAGGACAAGAAGCAACGGGTGGAAACTAATCAAGGAGAGAAGCAACCTGGAACTAAGGAGAAACTTCCTGACAGTGAGAACAATTAACCAGTGGAACCACCTGCCTCCAGAAGCGGTGAATGCTCCAACACTGGAAGTTTTTAAGAAGAGACTGGACAGCCATTTGTCCGAAATGGTGTAGGGTTTCCTGCCTGAGCAGGGGGTTGGACTAGATGACCTTCAAGGTCCCTTCCAACTTTACTATTATTATTATTATTATTAAAAGGACTCCACACACTAAACAATGTTAAAACTCTAACAGCGTTTAAACGTGTGTGTGTGTGTGTGTGTGTGTGTGTTTTCTGGTGCCAGACATTAAAAGAAGCACTAGGAAGCGAGTTTTCTTAACTTATTCATAAGCTTTCCAAAGACTAGCATTGAAAGATTTCTCTCTCACACAGTAATTTGCCATCCCATACTGTGTGGGTGTTACCTGAAATTGTAAGCATGATAGTCTAGAGATCTCTTTTCTAACTTTAGGAAAGCATGTTTTTCTTCTGAACCAAGGCCATTCCTTTTGGTACACGAGAACTTGTTTATCCAGCAATTAAACAATAGAAAGTGCATTCTGAATGTCCTTCAAAAAGTCTGGAAGATACAAACCCAGCTGGGGAAGAGAGTAACGTAACCCACAAATTTGCCACTTGTGAATGTTGTCTGGAATCAGTGTTCAGTATTGCTTAAATCTCCCACGTAACCCATGTCTTATTGATCTGTTGCTTTCCGGCATATCACAGATACCAAATGTGTCGTTTCTTTCTGTACTCTATAAAAATAATTCAGCCTCTCTAAATAAATACTCTTT